ATATTTGTTTTATATATATTTTCCACAAATGAAAATTAATATTATTGAAACTTTAATAGCATAAAGATTCAAAACTCTAGCTTTCAAATTGAAAAATGTTATAGTTATGATAAAGTGGTCGTTTCTCTGTAAAGAAAACAAGGTAGACGGCGCTACATAAATACGTGGAGATTTTCGTCTGTTGGAAGATATGCTATTAAGTTTTCAAATATTGTATATTACTATAGAAAAGTAGAATATAATTGTAACATTATTCTGTGAAATTAAACAGAAAAGAGGAGTATGTCTTCGTTGATTGAATTTAATTTTTAAAATAAACGTAATTGGTGTCATCCGTCTAAGTACGATGAACTCGTCAGTTGTAAACAGGCATCATATCTCATAATTCCCCCCCCCCCCCCCTCTCCCTCCCCCGTACTAAAACTACGCCCAAAAAAATATAGCCTCCCCCTCCGACGCCGATTACTGTTTTGATAGGACCTTGTACCAGGGTGGTGTCATAATGAATATATATTTTCAGTTTCGTCGTGACATCGTCCTTCGCTCCCGCCGTCATCTGTTGACTGGACCTGTCAAAATAGATGCTTCGTATCGAGTTGGCTAGTGTTGTTAAAGTAAACATACTGAGTGACAATAGGCTACTAGGTGTCGACTTATGTACGGTATGTGTGTAGGTGAATTATAATTATGATATGACCACTTACCAGTTACTTACCAGTCTATTTACAATAAATTGTCTTATTGACAATTGCTAACTGTTATTACACTGACTTACGCCCGGTTTCTGAAACAGTGATCATCGTAGAAATTAACTAATCAGCTGTCAAATGGCTTTTCAAATGTCGTTTGAGTTGCCAGAAGGATGGTTCAACTGTCTGAATCGCTCAAAGTGATGTTCTCAAAGCTCAGAACGATCAATTCAAAGAGTTTAACCATCGTCTTGGCAACTCAAATGACATTTGACAGCTGGACAGTTAATTTCTAAGATGATCAGTGTTTCAGAAACCGGGCATCAGCCGACTATTGCAATCCGCCTTAGCGCTTTTATCACTTAACATCAGGTGAACCATCAGCTCGCTTGCCCTCTTAATACATAAAAAGCACGTTCTTACTACAAGGTGTCCTAATGTTGAACATAACATTGATACGTACGTACACACAGTGTAGAATAGTTGTAATAAAAGTGATGACTAATGTAATACGTCGTAATAAACTTTGTATCTGATCCTGAATATTTCTTTCCACAATTATCAGATACATTGTGTAAGGTTGTGTATAAATTTCGTTACGTAAATTATTAACATAGAACATTATGTTATTAAATACAGCAAATAATTCATAAAAATAATACTTCCGGTTTATTTCTAACTCCTCCATGATTCGAAAAATATATTTTGCTGTTGATTATATTTTTCATAAGACGGTAGATTGAAAAGGAAGTCGGGGAAGGAGGACGAGAGCCGGTATAAAGGAAGAATAAGAATTGTACGAGGGCAGAGTGTCTTGGATTTTACTATTAAGGTGATATTGTGGACGATCAATAAATATCTGTGAATAAGTGAAGCCTTGTGTATTACTTAAATTACCTATATTGGAGAATATTGCTACAATTGTGATTATGCTTGCCGTGGTAATTTAGTCATATCAAAAGAACTATGTATTGGCTTAGTCTTATAACTGCTTTTTTCCCTCCTTACCCACCTTCTATAACTCAATGACTAGCATTGACAAGACACATTACTTAATACCCTTTATCCCGAATTTCAAACGCTTTGTTCTTGAAATGAAACAGTTAATTTTTAATGTAAGCAATCTGAATACGAAATCGCTGTAAAACCGCTTAATCCGTTGCGCCGGGTGAGGGTATCAGAAATGCTTGAACGCATAAGTATTTTAATATTTAAGCTTTTACTTCGTTGAAAACTTTTTTTTTACAATTTATGAACAATTAAATATGAAAATATTCAATGTCTGTCGTCATTTATTACTTGTTTATGGAGTTTTCTTTTCGTTTCACTGACCTAACTAATTGCTTTTTGTATTTGTTACAGGTACGTACAGTAGGCGCCTCCGAGGAACCAACGTGACTATGGCTAAATATTGACTTAAACATTATCGTAAACTAATGTCGGGCACTCTATATACATTTAGCCAACATAAAATAATTAAAATAAAACCACCCAAATGCCGGTCGAACTCGCGCACGAAGGCTTCCGTACCATTATCTATTAAAACGGCAGGAAAAGTATGTCTGTTGTATGGGATCCCCACTGAAATATTTTTTATTCTGTTTTTTTAGTAAATATAGTTTAACGGTGGTAGGGCCACGCAGTAGCCTCGGCTGTTGCATGAATGGGCAAGCCCGTGCGGGTAAGTACCACGACCTCACAGAAGACCGGCGTCAAGTGGAAGTATGACAAATACCCGGAGGTAGCCGGAGCCCAAACTTTAAAAGGTTGTCAACACATCTGTAACCCTCAGGTGTGGCAGATGTCCATGGGCGGCGGTATTCACTTAACATAAGGTGAAACGTCGGCTCGTTTGACAACTTTTCGCATAAAAAAAAATTTGTTATAGCGGCAACAGAAAAAAGTCTGTGAAAATTTCAACTGTCTAACTGTCACGGTTCATGAGATACTGCCTGGTGACAGACGGACAGACAGACAAACAGCGGATTCTTAGTAATAGGGTCTAGTTTTACCCATTGAGTACGGAACCCAAAAAAAAAGTAATGGGCGATCCGATCTCGGTTTTTCTTCAAGACTTCAATGAACAGGCATACATTTGTAATTCTATAGTGGTATACTCGTATTATGTTATATTGTATTATATTGAACTTACTAACTTTGAATTATTCTTATATTAAATGAAGAACTTCGAAAGAATTTCAAACTTTGAAGCACAACGGTTCTCTTCAAATGGCTACATATGAACCGGAGATAAATTGATACCATCGTTTTTACAGCAGTCGACTGTAAAAACAACGTTATCGATTATTCATTTCCTGTTTTGTTCCAGTTTGAAAAGAGTCGGAATAGCTCAGTGTTCGGGCGCTGGCTTTTAAATTAAATATCGAGCAACAAACGAGTATATCGAGTTCAAATGTATGAGACCTGTATGAGATATTTATGTATGTAAAACGTCCCTACAACACAGGATACTCTGCAGCAAGGGCGTTTTGGGAACACAGGGATAATTCCACAGAAATGGGACTAATGCTTTCGAAGGAAAGACAACATATAGAATTTGCTAGGCGCAGTGGTCAAAAATTTTGAGTGCTAATGGAGTTTATTGAGGTCGGTTTTTTTTTATTTAAAAAACTTTTTTTTTTATATTTAGCGATTTAATTCTAATAAGATTATAAATTATGAGTAGACTAAGCAAAGAGGCAAAGGCGTCAAACTGAGACCGGGACTGAAAATGGAAAGCGATTAAAAGCAAATAGTAATAGCCTATACATGTCCCACTGCTGGGCAAAGGCCTCCTCTATAGAGAGGGTATCAGGGCATAGTCCACCACGCGGCCCCACTGCGGATTGGCGGACTTCACATATCTTCGAAAAATATATTTTTTTTTTTGTTATTATTTCGAAAATATGCAGGTTTCCTCACGATGTTTTCCTTCACCGCGGAGCAAGTAGCACTAAAAATAAGTCAGCACTTAAAGTTAAAAACTTCATTGGTGCCGGCACCGGGGATCGAACTCAGGTTGCTCGAGTATATTGAATTTGTTCTCAGTGAGACATTAGTTAAGGGAGCAGCTGTAAATATCCGCATGCTGTATGTTCATTTTTATTTTTTATTTTGTCTTTTGTTCCTGTTTGTCTCCGATACAGTAAATAAATAAATAAATAAATAAATAAATAAATTAAAAGCGAGCGCCCGGACACTGAGCTATCACGGCTAAAAGCAAATAACGAAAGAAAATCTCTAGGCATTACAAATGAGAGGCACAAAAATAGATTGTTAAAAAATATCCTATTTGTATATGGAGGATAAAAGACGAAAATCAAGAAAATAACAATAATCGTCTAAGGTTAATTCGCACTCGTTTGGCTATAAGTTTATTTAAAAAGATTACCAATCGCGTTGGCGAATTGACGACGGCTCAACTTGAATTGCTTTGCGAACGTCAAGGAATACTGTTGATGGGAGATTTTGCCGATAGAGTTGCGGTTCGAGCTTATCCCACTGTGAGACAAGTAGGCGCTTACAATACACACATGACAGCTAGCGTATTAATGTTATCGCTGGCAACACTGTATACCGGATGTGACGTTAACTTCTCGAGCGAAGAGGCACATGGTCGCATGGAGCAGCGGTCACTTGCTTTTCGGGTGCGTTCCCACACGGTGATGTAACCACTAGTGCTGCTTGTCGTTATAATAGTTGTTAATATTAAGTTCAGAAATAGTTAAAATATTAGAATTAAATTGATAACGTTAGAACTCTTATCTTAATTGTGTAAATACGCTGTTTTCGCGTCCTCAGCTATACTGAATAAATCTGCTTAACCTTTTCGTGTGTACAGACGTGATGTTTTGTTGCGTGATTGCACAAAACAATGCATATTAATGCGATAGCGGCAATCGCGGTTGATTCGCTGTCATCTTTTGAAGAGTTCCGTTCTATATCTCCGAAACTCATCATCGGATCTATATCAAATTTAAATGGGACCACTAACCCTTTCGAACAAAATTTGCAAATCCATCTATACATGAAGTTATGCCCGACCATACATAAAAAGAAAACATAAACATCCGAATTGATAACCTCGTTTTTTTTCGTTTAAAAAATCGATTACTGGTACAATGTTGCTTACGATAACAGGTGGTAGTTAACACATATTTATTACTTTTTTCACATGTCACAGTATTTACCACTGTTTTGCGAATTTGCAACTTTTAGAGAATTTCCATCTAATAGACCACCACGGTTTACCACCGCCATTTTTAAAGCAGAAGCGTTAGTCTGAATTGAAAACTGTGACAGCCCTATTAGATGAGTCTGCCGGAGTATGTTTGCATTGCGGCCGCGTCGCATTTAGCGCACGGCGACGTGGCGGGAATGGCGGAAGTGTCGCGTGTCGCATGTCACGTGTCACGCGCAACGTGTAACACGTCGTGCGTCACGCCGCGTCACGCTGATCTCGCGGGCTACCGTCGGCTCGTTATCAGATGTTGGCGGATTTGCGGATCTTTATCCGGCGTCAACGGTTTCGCGCATTCTTATCCGATTGGCGATTAGCGATTTGCCGCGTGCGATGCGATCTAGAAACAGCTATCGTATTTTTATAGCCAATGCAGTGAATATTATACTATGTCCTTGACGCAGTAACTAGTCCATTTTTTAATGTCAAACAGTGGCAAATGTTGCAGTGGCGGTTCACCTGATGTTAAGTAATAATCGCCGACAATGGACGTTTGCAACACCCGTAGGGTTGCAAATGCGTCGCCACCTTTAAATAAAGTGCCTCACTCACCAGACGAAACGCAGAAGAGTAATACTTCTAATTTACGCCGGTCTTCTGTGAGTCCGTGGTACTTACCCGGACGGACCTGCCCATTCGTGCACCAGTGAAAACTGTTGCGTGGCCCTACCATGTTGAAGATAAGCTAAGGTTTCGTTTTTCTTGTTCGTATATTGCTTTTCTTTTTTGTGTTGTTCTTACCCGTTGTTCCAGAAAGGTTTTCGCGCTATTCTTGCATTAGCGTCAACTGATCTGGGCTTAATACTCTCGTATCGCGAGTGTTCACGTAAACGAGAACGTTTAACACGTCTCGTTATCTGATAACGGTGTCGTATTAAAAGTCTTAAAGTATTAAAAGAATTATGTAGGGTATATAATAACCATCTTTACTAACGAAAACCAAATCGACTTCAAATGTCTCGCTCTGCATTCATTTTATAATTGATTTTCAAGAGCTCCCTAAGTATTTCCGAAGCCCGAGATCCAATACCAATGAAATTGACATGGGGACCACACGGGAAGCATCAGCTTTCAAAAAAAAATAATCATAAAACCGGTTCACTCAGTAGAAAGTTCTGAGGTAACAAACATTAAAAAAGATACAATCGAATTGGGAACCTCCTCCTTTTTCGAAGTCGTTTAAAAACCGAAAAATGTATAAAACAATTTCCTTTATACGATTCGCTGTGCCCGGATTATATCATTGATGGATATCTGTTCATATGACCTACATTAATCTAAAATCTTTGTGAGAATTGTGATGATAAATCGCATATATGCAACAAAGATATGCAATCAGTATCGCATGGGGCTGAACGTATAATTACAGCATAAACAGAATGAAAATGAAGTAAAGGGAGTTTTTATCGTTTAGTAATGCATTTACAGCTCGTCAAGTTTTGTAGATGTCGACGGAAGGCGGTAATCACTCAACATCAGGTGAACCGCCTGCTCGCTTGACAACTTTTGACATAGAAAAAGACTCAACACGTGACCAGCTATGAAGGAAAACATAGCGAGGAAGCTAGTACATAGGGGGCCTTTGTTCAGCGGTGGGACATTTATAGGCTGTTACTTTATTTAACTTCACTTTCTAAGATTCAAAGGTCGTATAGATTATTATTCATTCGTCGAACGCGGATCAATAATTAAAAAAAAAATCTTTTTTATTCCCTCTTTAAACAAATGTAAGTGAATCAAGCCTAATACCCTCTATACGGAGAAGGCTTTCGCACAGCAGCGGGACATATGTAGACTCTATAGTGGTACTAATTAAAGCGAAACAAAGCCACCCGTATCCAAGTTTGCAACGGCAAAATCCTTTCACCATACATGACCCAATCGCCGCGTGGCAAAAACAAAGTGAACGCAAACTAAAGGCGGGGGAATTAAGTCTGCACTTTGTGCTATATTATAACGGCCCACGTGGCCTTGTCACCGCACTTAGTCTATTTTATGGGGCAAAGAGGCCGCGAGTAATTTACATCCACGCACGGTGTACCGCCACATACGCTTCCGCGGAGAAACTCTCTTGATACGTTTTTGTTTACCCGCCATGGGGCTTTGTTTGTTTTTAGGGCTCCGTACCCAAAGGGTGAAACGGGACCTATTACTGAGACTACGCTGTTTGTCCGTCGGTCCGTCTGTCATCAGGCTGTATCTCATGAACCGTGGTAGTAAGACAGTCGAAATTTTCACAGACGATGTATTTCTGTTTCGGCTATAACAACAAATACTATAAAAAAAATAAAATAAAAATATTTATGTGGGGCAACAAATGAGAGGCGGTTGCTAGGCAACCTATAGGTATCTTTGAGTAGGTCAAGGTTCTGTTTACAACTATCGCCGACGTTTTAACGAATGATTTTACGCATCAACAAAACCATGCATTATTTACTTCGTCCTGGCTCGAACGACGGTTCGACAGCTCTGTGGTTCGCATCCACCGTTCTAAATAATAGCTGCGATTCGATTGGCGTGGGGAGTAGTTAACCCGCCTCTTGCGCCAGAGGTTCTGGGTTCGATCCCCACTGGAAAAATATTGTCTGGTGAACATTGTGTTTTTCTAGTGTCTGAGTGTTTACATATTTATAGTATGTATTTCTTTACAAAATAAAAGTATGTTTATACGTTTTCTAGTACCCATAGTACAAGCGTTGCTTAAATTGTGGTTTGAGAACGATGTGTGAAAATGTGACCGAAAAAAATAATATTTTATTTATTATCATTAAATTATTGTTACATTATGTACGTCATATTAGCCAACCACAAAAGAGGAGTATATTTAATTTACTGTCTTGTGAAACTAACTGTATTCAGTTCTAGAGTTCAGTCCATTTTGGACGACTACAAAAGCCGACTATGGAGTGTCTAGACGGTCTATTTTTAAGATGATAGGCGACACAGGTCGAATTCGCGACAGTTTCTCTAATGTGTCTATTTTGCGAACTATACTTCTATATTTGCCATGCTCAGTTTCTGTCTCGTCGGGTGAGCTTAAATTAATCAAAGCTTGTCGAATGCAGCGACTTTATAGTGTTCATAATTATGTTCATTTTGTTTTCAACTCCTGACGTTTGCCAGCCGACTTCAAAAAGAGGCGGGAGGTTCTGAACGGGAATTTTTTTATGTCGGTTAAGAGAAGTCTTGTTTAGCTATGCTAACTACCAGTTATGCTAACTACTAGTTAACTAACTAACTACCAGTTATGCTAACTACCAGTTAACCAACCAATTGGTGGTGAGCGACCTAACATTGAGCCATTACGGCCACCGTAATATTGAGTCATGTAGAATATAAACAGCTTCACATTTAATTTCTTTTTGTATAACACGATAAATCTTGTGACATATATACATTATGTGACAACATTGCTGATTTGTTTAATGTTTTCAAAACGGAAAATATGCATTTTAGACTTATGTATTCGTACCTCAAAAAAATTATTTTTGAAAATCTATCTAAATTCGAAGTCTTAAGTTAGTCGAATAATTAAAACAGGGCTGAGTTCACTCCGCAGTCGGGCCGGGAAATATCATGCTCGGGACGTTTAAAAAAAGAGTATTTTTATATCCACCTCGACGAAGGAGAATTCCGCCCCCGTATAATTACGGTGCCTCCGCGAGATCCGCTATTAGGGATTCAAAGGGCCGCTGCAGATCCGAGCGGGCGGCCGCCGGAGATGAAAGTGGATTGCGCTGATTATCCTCTCTCCAGAATGGACAGCTCTAGTGTGGCTTAGCCTTTTGACTCGCAAGCACTTTCCGCTTGACTTGTAGCGCTGAAGTAGTTCCTCAAAACAACCTCGACGCAGGTGCCGAGATCAGAATTAGGCTCGCCTTCAGCCGCTTTCTTGTTGCGCTCAACGCTGAGTGATACACGCAGCGGTGTGCTTAAATGTAAACTAGTGATGTGCAACCATTTTGCTGATACACTTACCTGCTGCTACGTGCACCGTATCACACCGCGTAAAATAGACGCGTTCCAGGACATGATTGGACATAGACAATCGTCGGATTTTATGGTTTAAAAACAAATGAATACGTACAAAACTTAAAAATAATAATGTAACTACACACAAACTTAAAATAAATGTAAACATAACAAAAAAACAAACAAAATAATAACAGTAAGTGACGGTCTTGTGTAGTAGCAAAAGACCGTGAAACTGACGGGACTCGGTAAAAGTCGAGATACAGTAACTAAAATTTGTTCTGACCCCGACACCGGTTTTCAGTCCGGCCCGCACTTCGAGGCAACTCGGACGGACGGCTGTGTCAGTGAATTTGCAATAAATACCTACTGCGAATATTATTTTTGTTTGAACCTTTCATTTATATAGAAAGTGGATATCATTCGTCTGATGAGGTAAGTAAAAATAAAAACTAATGTTTGTTTTTTAATATTGTGTCAGCTGCTATATTTCCATTTCGGTTTTAGGTTACCAATGTTCCCTACTCTGTGCTACTGTGACACTTACGATTAAGTGGACTTAAGATCAACCTATTTCTTTGCTCTAAGAGAAATATTCATTAATGATTTAGCGGTTTTTAAAAGTCGTCTTCTTTCTCTTTTTCAACCTACTTCAATAAAGGAGGAAGTCCTCAATTCGACCGTATTTTTTTTAATGTTTGTTACGTTGTAAACTTTCCGACTGAATGAGCCGATTCTGATGATTCTTTTTTTTATTTGAAAGCTTCCCAAGTGGTCCCACAGGATACTCAGGGAACTCTTGAAAATCAATTATGTAATGAATAAGTAAAGTAAAGTAACAGCCTATACATGTCCCACTGCTGGGCAAAGGCCTCTATACAGAGGATATCAGGGCATAGTCCACCACGCGGCCCCGCTGCGGATTGGCGGACTTCACATATTTTCGAAATATATATTTTTTTGTTATTATTTCGAAAATATGCAGGTTTCCTCACGATGTTTTCCTCACCGCGGAGCACGTGATAAGTCAGCACTTAAAGTTAAAAACTTCATTGGTGCCGGCACCGGGGATCGAACTCAGGTTGCTCGAGTATATTGAATTAAAGGCGAGCGCCCGGACACTGAGCTATCACGGCTCTTTTATAATGAATACAGAGCGAGATATTTGAAGTAGGTTTTGTTTTGCGTTAATAAAAATAAGGGCGTATTTTATTTCTCTGGCCTTTATACATTTGGGGTTACCGTAACATGCGAATGATGCTGTTAATTGTATTGCTTAGGTTTTTTTTACGCTTGACGTCAACCCTTCTTTCGGACATACACACAAATCCCGAACAAACAT